TTGTGGACTGTTACTTGACTTTACTGCTGTCACTCAGGAGCGAATACGTTGTAAATATTGTAAATAGATAAAATTAAAATCACCGTCATAGTTGAAGAAACTAAATATTAATTAGAAAAAGGTAGAACTAACAGTGCGATAGTGGAAGAGAGAATTAAGAAATTAAACAATGAGTAGTTTCAAAGGAAGCACAGTACTATTACCCGGACGGGGAGGCATCAATGATGCTACTTTTTGGCTGTTGTTGCTGCACGCCGCGCCGTTTTCTTTGCTACCGCCGGAGCCCTGACAGGCACCACCTCGGGATCTGCTATAGCACCCAGGTCTCCTAAGGTAACCACCCGATGCCTTGTCCCATCGGGACCCAAGACGAATACATCACCTCGTCTCGTCCAGCAGCTGTTTACGCCAAATCTTGCACGGGCCGCCAAAAAAGTCCGATGTCTGATTTTTGTTAAAAATTCCGACATCGTAATGCCAGAACCTTTCAGTTTTTTTTTAGCAAGCCATAGTGCATCATGCATCTTTTGCCCCTGCAGCTTGACTAATATGGGTCTAGGCTTGCCCGCGTCCTGCTGACGCCCCATTCTATGACACCGCTTAATCTCTGTTGCAGCAAAATCAACGATGCCCAGTTTGCCCCGTACAATTGATGTCACCACCTCCGCCACAATATATCATCAACATACAATAAAACATAAGTTTTATCCTTACCACAGGACTTAATATACAAGCATGAATCACTTTTAGATGTTACATAACCTTGTTTAGTCATTACTGAATTAAATTTTACATTCCAACACTTAGGTGAGCTCTTTAATCCATATAATGATTTATTTAATTTAACAATATTTTTATCCCCAGAATAGGCCCCTTCTGGCAATCTAATTAGTACCTTTTTATCTATGTCCCCATACAGAAACGCTCCAGTTACATCCATTTGGTATACGGGAAGATTCAACTTAGTCGCTACTGCTATGAACACTCTAAAGGTTGAAAGCATTGCTACAGGAGCATAAATATCCCCAAGATCATAATGACTATTTTGTTCAAAGCCCCTCGCTACTAACCTAGCTTTATATACCTTTTTATCCCCGTTCTTTTTAACTTTAAAAACCCATTTAGTGCTAACAACATCTTCACCCTCCCTTGTATCATAAAATTCCCAAGTATTGTTATCTTTTAAGGTTTGTAACTCCCTATTAATAGCGTCAACCCACTTACTTGCATCTTTCCTACTCATTGCCTCCTTGTAGGTAACGGGCTCACTTTCACTACTCACCACATTGTGACACTGGTAGAATGAAGTTTGTTTCCTTGTTCGCTTGCTTCTTTCTCGCAGTTGCAAAGTGTCACCAATCTCAGATTCTTCACTTGAGGGTTCATACTCACTCACATACTCACTTTCAGTAGATGTGTCAATATCAGGACCATTTTGAGTTTCATTTATATCATCTTCCAACTGTCCTAAAGATTTATCCTTATCATTTCCATTCTCAGTTTCTTGAGCACCTTGTTGTGTGGATTGCTCACCTAAATCCAACACAATTTGTGGTTCAGTCTCTGTATCTTTTAAGAACGCAACATCTCGCTTTGTGTCAACACAATTTGTCTCAGGAAAATATATACGGTATCCTTTAACATGCTCACCGTAGCCAACCATCATTCCTTTCACACCTTTTTGATCCCACTTTCTTCGTTTTTCTTTAGGGATGTGCACGTATACTTGACAACCAAAAGTCCTCAGTTGACGGATATCATAACTTTTGTTTGTCCACACTTCGTATGGTGATCTGTCATCAACACCCTTTCCAGTTCTGTTGAGAACGAATGCAGCTGTGTTTACCGCCTCTGCCCAGAATTTCTTGGGTAGATTTTTAGCATATAGCATTGTCCGTGCTGCTTCAACAAGAATTCTATTCTCTCGTTCAGCTTTTCCGTTTTGTTGAGGTGTATACGTAACGGTTGTTTCATGAATTATACCACGTTTGGAACACATGGCATGTACTTCTTTGTTGAGAAATTCCAAACCGTTATCGCTTCTGAACGTCATAACTTTGTTTCCAGTAATGTTTTCGGCTTTGTTAATGAAATCTTCCAGGCAACGTTTGACCTCGTGCTTCGCTTTGACGAAGTATACAGTCCTGAAACTTGAATAATCGTCTTTCAGAACCAAGAAGTATCTCGACCCCCGATGGATTCTTCTTCCATGGGACCACAGGTGTCACCATGTATTATTTGACACGTTCTGGTGCTTATTGTTACACTATTCTTGAAAAGTAATCGGTGTATTTTACCTTTCAAACAACTTTCACACTGAGGTGAGGTGTGTGTTTGCTTAACCTCAATGTTATTTTTCTTCAACACCTTTTTCACGTAGTCAAAATTCTGATGGGCTAATTTTTCATGCCATTCAATAAAATCGTTTGTTACTACGTTTGCAACGCTTGCAGTTTCACATTTGAAACGTAAATCCATATAATACGAGTTTTCAATTCTGTTTGCAATTGCACAGATAACGCCATTTTTATAGAATGAACAAGAATTGACATCGGTAATTATAGTGTATCCTCGGTCGGCAATGCGATTCATAGACAACAAATTTGTTTTTAGTTCCGGAACGAACAACACATTATCTATTGTCGTATCAATCCATTCACTCCCATTGGTGACTTGTACCGTCATCTGTCCGTGTCCGAGTACACTAATGACATTGCCGTTTCCAACAACTACGGATTTTTGTGACACGCTTACAAATGTTGAAAATAATGATCGATCACGACACATATGCTCGCTCGCTCCGGAGTCAACCAACCACTTGGTTTCTTCGTATTGCTTACATACAGAATTAGTTATCACGAACGCATTGTTCATTTTCTTTCCTTCTTTTAACTTTCTGAATCTACACACCGCCTTAAAGTGTCCGGGTTTACCACAGTAATAGCACTTGTTATCGTTCATTCACCTTCTTTGCACTGTCTTTATTGTACTGCACTCAGTTTGATGATGACCAGATTTACCACACTTATAACATGATACGTTTCTTTTTGCCACTAACGCCGATGACATAGTATCCTGCTTTTCATCAGTTTTAACCTTCAACCTGTCCTCTTCGACCAATAATCGCGCTACTAAATTGTCGAATGTTTGTTTGTTATCCGGGGCAGACTCCCATGCAGAAATAAAATGTTTATATTCATCTGGCAAGCTCATTAATACCTTGGTTATTATGAACTTATCGGAAATTTCTTCACCCATTTGTTTCAGTTGACACTGCATTTCTTGTATTTTGGATAAAAACACCGACATCTCAATATCTTTTTCGTATTTGTATTGAAAGAATTTTTGTTGCAAAATGTGTATACTAGTTTCCGTTTTATGTTCATAGACGCTCAAGAGCTTTTTCCACATGTCTGCTGAGGTTGAGCACGTTATAAGGTGTAACATAACATCCTCTGTCATCCGTGTGACCAATAAAGTCTGAGCCTTCGCGTCTTTAGACTCCCATGTGACCCGTGCAGCTTCATCTTCCGGTTTTATTGACTGTCCTTCCACGATTTCAAGCCAACCCTGTCCTCGCAGTAATACCATCGTCTGGAACTTCCAGACGTTCCAGTTTCTCGCTCCTTCCAGTTTCATCACATGACTTATATTACCAATATTTCCTTCCATCTTGCTTTTCTGTCTTGTTGTATTACTACAGCAATTATTCAACCTTCTCGACAATGACGATGTAAGTTTTTCAAGCGACCATTCACGTGTTTTTCCTAACCTTACTTTTTGCCGATATTCTTTATTTCGCACGATGTTTTTTTTTTATTTTGTATTTACAAACAGGGTAGGCGTTCTGGGCCCATAACCTGTTGTAAATAAAAATGAATACCTTTTAGAAACTGTTTTATTAGAAAATAACTTTTATGTTAACAGTGATGTCAACAGTCAACAGACCCTTCGAGAACAGAACAGAAAAAATTCAAATCACTCTTTTTAATAGACTTATGACAACAGCGTTGCCAACTTACTAAAATGCATTTACATTGCACCAACATTTCAACATATTTACTGGCAATCTTGTCATCCTTTGTAAATTGTACCACGGACCAAATACCTTTGATATAATATTCACTTTGATTGTGACGAAGAAACTTTAAACTTTAAAAATACACTTTATTTACAAATAAGTAAATGACTGTTTAGACGATTTAAGTAGCATTTCATAAACTAAATTGTTGTATGGTTTATGTATATATTAATTTATTTCGTCTTCATACAAAAATTAAAGTGAATGGCGGAATTAGTGCCTTAAAGCATTTTCTAACAGTTACTCTATTTCATAAAAACATTTAGGTAGAAGTTTTCATATCAACGTAATTTATTAGCATGCGTTTCATAACAATTAACTACATCTGAACTTATTAAGGATGTCGAAATACGACACTGATATACTTCATACGATTCAATAATTATTCACATTACTTTAAAATCTTGACAGTTCATCTCAAACCAATAGCGCTTCGCTAAGTTGATGTTAGCATCAACTTTATAGACATTTCAATTTGATGGTGTAATATCAGCCCGTATTGGTTTTAATATTAATGAGGCAATACATTTCCCTCGTATCTTCCATACAGTACTAAAAACTTCAGCACAATTTCGGCGACTGTTTTCGTCGTAAATCATCGGCATTTACGGACCGACGTTAACCCTTCTTTTCTGATTGCAGTACCTTAATTTGAATATTTATTCATAAACTCTGAAACCTCTGAATTCATTCTTTTTTATACGTTGGTTTATATGCAGCACAAAAGATGAGTAGTGGATTATGAGGAACGATAAAGTGCTTACGACATTTCAACATATATCGGTAATAAAAAAATATTTTTAAAATTCTACGTAGGTAAGCATGGTGTCTTGTGTGACAGATAACATAACTAGCAAACGTGGCCCAAGATATTAACGCATGTGTCATCACTCAAGCAATAAAAGTAGGTTTAACTTACTTGAACAGGAACTGAGTGATTTCACTATCAAGGGACTGGTCACTGAAGTCTTGTCCCTGTGTTGTAAGTCCTCGAACCAAGTGATCGAAGGCATTGTCAAGTTCCAACAGCATAGGCCGTGTGTACCAGTCACTCAGGCGCACGGCTCCAATGGTGCGACGGCTTTCTGAAACTAACCTGTGAAAAAACATTTACAATATGTAAAAATAAAAATTTTAAGCATTCGGAAACAAAATATTTTAATCGATAGTAAGCGATGAGGATAACTCAAAGGGCAAAATAATAAAAGAAACGAATAATTATACGGTATTTAAAAGTGGCTAACGTAGATATTTTATTGAAATCCTTTGGCGATTATCTGATATTAACTTCAAAGCAAACTTTAAGATGGATTCCAAAAAATGTCATACACATGTAATGCTACGTTAGTAAAATGAAAATAACAAATCAATAAAACTTTTCAATGCAAAATTATCGAAAAGACCTAATTACATTGTATGTTTAACCTCTATAATGAACCTGAATAGATCGGCCATTGCAATTTCCTACCTCATTAATATTGATAGTCAATAAATGTACACCGTGATTGCATTGGCGCCAATTTAATAAAAACATGATAATGAAGTTTGACTCCTAATCGCGAAACAATGGCTATAATTAGTGCAGTCAAAATAAATTTGATGGGTAGAGAAGACATATAATATAAGCTGAAATTTAAGTCAGAATAAATAATATTAACGTCACAAGAAAAATCTTATTTGCACAATTAGTTATAACTTGTTGTCAGAAGTAATAACAATTTAAAAGAAATTAGTGGAGACCACATCTAGTCAAACGTACAGTAACCTACCTACCTACATTTAACTATAAAGTAAAGTGACTGAAAGAATTTGGATACATAAAAGAACAATAACCAAAATATAGAGTTCGATAAGAAGGAGACAAAAATGAACTAATGAACGTTATAATGATATAATTAAAGGTAAAAATACTGATGATATTATATATACGAAAATAAATAAAGAGAAATATACATACTCCAAATAACCTCTGATCAAGGAGTGGAAGTGACGGAAGGCAGCTGTGTTGTATTCATTGATGATAGAAGGATCCACTCCAGGGTCGTAGTCGTTAACGTAGCCATGAGTATCAGGGTAGATGAGCTTATTCTTCACCATATTTTCAAAACCTGCATACAAGATACATATAGTTCATGATAAAATAAAACTATTTTAGTCACGACACAATGTACACACGGCCACACATCAATCTATACAAAACCAGTTTATCCGGGTGTCGCGTCGCATCATCTTTCCGCACATTTAACGTTCAGTTTATACTGGTTATGTAAAGCTCGATGTGTAGCCGTGTGTACGAACAACTTGTACAGTAGGAAGATGTTATAAAAACTGACATAATTCGAAGGAAATTCATAGACGATTCAGAATATGTAACTGCGTATTTTTTGTGTTAATGAAGTAACACGACGACGTTAATAAAGCCTTTGTGAAAACCTAACTTTTTAATTCAAAAAACAAAATATAAACGAAAATTTTTCGGGACTTCACTTAAGTAAAGTCGAAAAATGCTTACAAATATTTTTAAATATCTAAATTGAGGTTAAGATGGCAGTTTTCTCTTTTATTTTTTGTCACCCCGGTCTTAATTAATAATCTTACAAAACAAAAACTTCTGGTTGCTTGGTAACTCTCATTTAACACACCTCAGAGACCTCAGACCTGAGACCTTAGAGTTTGTTTTAGCATTTCTTCTCAGAGTAGTCAGTAGAAAATACCAGCCCTATCAGTAGCTTAATTGAAGTAAAAGTGCAATGTGTAGAAATAAACAATGATTTCATATCGAAGACTTTATTATTTAATTGGCTACCTACGTCATAACGCACATGACATTCCTGACATCACAACTGATATTCTCTATTCACTGACATCGAATGTAAGATATCTCCCATTTCCAAAGTATATATCACAGAAAAATATAGTAAAAATGGGTAAACACACATTTTCTGTTATTGATACCTAAGACAATCATACAGTTCACATTCATACATTTTCTGATTCACCCAACAAGTGGTTAGAATGCCTAGGCATTAAGACCGCCTATGTAATTTTGTTACATAAAGAACTACATAAATAACTTACCTAACAGAATAGGAAGGTATTCATAATAGTTGATGTGCTGTGTCTCAGCAATGTGGATACGTCTGGCTTCTTGAAAGATAGTCTCGTCGTCCCAGTGAGGGTTGAGTAGAGCCAGCGTGTCAGCGATGCGGTTATGTTCCCTCAGCAGCACCACTTGGAGCGTCGCCAACTGAGGGTTTTGGTTCACACGGGCGTCACCTGATAATTAAAAGATATAGAACGTAAAAATCATAGACAAGATTTTTTTTCTTTTTTAATGTTACCCCCACTAAAATTTTGATGCATTGGTGCACTTTGATGTCCAAGGTTCTCTTAACATTTCCCTCCAACACCACATTTCTAAAGCATCTATCCTCTGTCTCTCTCGCGCTAGTATAGCCAATCTGATCTTGGTTTTGATACCTATTCCTTCCAGATTTTATTTAGACGGGTCATAGCATCCTTGACCATCCCAATTTGTTTTTTATTTCAGAAACACCATTGTCGTCATTGCAGATTTGGGAGACCACGTATATATAACGGTCGATGATATCAATACCAGGAACGCCGCATATGACATGCTCCAATTTACCGGATCGATCGACCATCAACTTATTAGTCTTCGCTCTATTCACTTCGAGACCCATATTGCGACTTTCCACTTCAAGTCTTTGGAACAGCTCGCACATGTCTTCCATAGATAAAGCGAGAAGAACAGTGTCATCAGCATATCACAAGTTCGACAGTCTTTTTCCACCTATCGGAAAACCCCTCTCCCAATTCTCGACGACCCTCCGAATGATATATTCTTCATATATGTTAAAGAGTCCATGGGATAGAACGTAGCCCTGTCTCACATCTTTTTTTTATTTGGAACATATTGGAGCATTCAGTGCCTATCCTAATGAAAAAGCGGTTCTCTGCGTATATATTCTGGATTAAAGCAACGATGTGAATAGGAGTTCCCATTTCGAAAAGCACATTACACAGTTAGTCCCATTGCACGCAGTCAAACGCTATGTATAGATATGTAAGGAGCCGCTAACCTAGTCCTGTTTTTGAAGTCTGCTATTTTAAGTATTTTGTCATTCTTGTGGTATTTGAACGGAAATGAAATATGTTCGTCCTAGAATAAACACCTTCACACCGATAGTAAAACTATTGTGGTTCGGTGGAAATTGAACTGAGTAATAATAATGGACAGACTTCATGTCATTTTCTTTTCGACAATTTATGGTGTTCCATCAATGGTTATTCGCGACTTTGATATGAAATACCTGTTTTATATAAGATGGAATATGAAAGTAAAGATCATTTGATATCTTACCAGCTAAATAGCAAGGTTCATTAGGTAACTTCGCAGTTTCACAGTTGACAGTTGGTTTAGGATTGTTTGGTAGCCATTCCCGGCCTCCTCTCACAGTGGTCAATAAACGACCTCCTCGTCGAGCTCTGACGGCACTGGCCTGACTTTGGCTGCTGCCGTAGACAGTGGAGAGATCCATGAAGGTTGTGACTGACGTTAGCTGGTGGCAAATAAACACATGTAGGGTTAAAAGTGAGGAAATGACAAAAAATATTATGTTTGATCTTAATTAACGATTTATTGGATAAAGATTAAAATCGACTTGAATTCATTTGGATGGCAGTAAAAAGTAGAAAAAGGCATAAATCTTAATCAGAATAATAATTATGAATAACTATTTTGTTGCCAATTACTAAAGTAGAAGTCATATTATTATCAAACTTCGGAACAGAAATTCCAGGTCAATCAACCTTCGACCTATTTATGTTATCTACTTATTACTTCAAACTTTCTATACAGGTCTTCTTTTCTTTAAATAGTGTAATGGCAATTGACCCTAAGTTTTTTATTAGCTATCCTTATAACTTTAACTTATGGTAGTGAAATATTACGCTGTTATCGGAGAAATAAAAATGAGACGATATGCGTCTCTAAGGACCTATTTGCAATGATTTAATAAATACGATTGCCTTTTAAACGAAATATTGGTTTTAATATTCAGGCTTTTTGAAAATATAAAACCGAAACCAAATAATACTTTAATATTTATATTAAGACTTTCGTGAGACATACTAAATTAATTTTAAATTATATTTTCGGCTTATTTACGTAATTGTTTGACGAGGAACTCGACTAGTTTCAAAGCTATGCTAGAGGCTCATATTAATGAGCAGCATTTCGCAACCCGCGACGCGGCGACTGTCGCGCTGCTACTCGCGCCCCTGTCTGTGCGGCAGTCGCGGGAACCCATATATCCCTAAGCGGTCACCGCTAACCGTTTTTCACTAACTACATTATAGACCTTATTTTGGATATTACGGACCAGTTTTACGAAATATTCTAACTAAATCATTTACTTTTTCTCATTTCCGAATACAAGTACAACACGCGTTAGTAATTCTCTAGTCGAACATTAATTATCCGAGGACAATGTTCCACTAGGGAAGAAGTAAAAATATAATTTATTTCGTGCTTAGAAAGACGTAGATTTTAATATTCTCATTTAAAATTTTTGACCTTTTACATGATGAGAGATGATATCAATACATGGATACGTAAGATAACCATTTGCCACCTCGGTTTAAATAGGTACTATTAATCATTTTTTGAAAGAAACATTTCTCCAAATAAATCAAGAATCTATATAACATCCTTACCTGTTGAGCAGCAACATTAGCTGGAGTACATCCTCTATCTCTAGTCGTTTCCGTCCTTACAAAATTCATACACTCTGTTCCTCGTGGATAAACAGGGTCATTAAGAGGTATCAGTATGGGAGCACAAAACGGGACCGTTTGGGCAAGACTCGTCAGTCTCCCGTTGTCATCGCAGCAGTTCGTCAACCCTTTGTCTGGTAGCATAGGATTCAGTATTAAATAGGGTCATTTTACTATGGTCAACTGCACTGTAGACTTTGTATCTTAATTTTCGATGATAAATACATTGTTCTGATTAACATAATAATATGACTAATGAACTGAGCTTGTGATTTTGTTAGGAAAGTCAAATTGTAAGCTTTCGTGTAGTTGACCATTTAAGAGATGAAAACACAAGCCAAACAGTTTGAACGAAAGTTGAAACGTGTAGTAAGCGATACAAACAATGAGGCGTATCTAATTGAAAGTAAATTCATAAGTACCTACTGAAAAATCTGTAATACAAATGAATGTGACGGCTCGACCAGACTGATACTACGGCCTAACAGAAAACAGACGTGAAACAACATTGTGTTTTGTCGTGTGAGTGAGGTTAATCGAGGCCCAATCACCCCCCCTTCCCCCCCAATCTCTTGTATTCCTCTATCTGTACAGTTCTAATAATTAGACTTTCTTTTTCTTTTTTCATTCTTTATGTGACATCTTTCTTTATGTCACATAAAGAAATTATCAATTATTTTACGAGAAATAGTTTTGAAATTTCTAAATGAGATATTGTTTTTTTTTTAATTTAATAGCAATAAATAAATTATATATTTAAATGGTATGATTGACAAACTGTTCACATAGCAGCAGATAGGAGACTGAAGAGAGATAGATTAACTACATACATGATCATACCTACATACTCATCTAAAAGAAAATTCTACTGTACATGATTTTACGAATAAATGCTGTGATGAAGAATATTTAAACACACATAGTATAAGATGTTAATGATACCTACACATAAATGTTATAGACTAGTGATGTAACACAACAATGGTTTTAGTTACAAATACACATTCAAACTTACTCCGTGGATTGAAATCCGCTGTAGGAAAAAAAGCGTACAATTTAGTAACACATTAAAAAACTAACGTCTCCGAATATCACATCTCGTGTAAACAGAGACACTACAGAAAGTAAAATTTATTAAATATGAGAAAAACGTCTAGATACAAGTTAATTCAGCTAACTTACTATATCTATCAAAAAAAAAGAAATACCTACTGGACTAATATTGCAAAAATAAACGAGCAAATGTACAATGAACAAAACATCTTAAGTCTCAGTAATTTTCAAATAGAGTAAAATGGTTGAGGATATTTTATCCATGTACTTATACAGATCCATATACTTGTACAATAAACAACAATATTCAGCCTAAACACCAAAACTTTAGTTGATTATACAAATGTGTAGGACCACATTATATAGTTTTGGTCTTGTTTCGAAACAAAAACTAAGGAAACTGGGAACTTACGAGCTTCTACATCGTTAGCTGATAGTGACATGTCGTGGGCTACAATTTGTCCCCATTGTTGCGTATTTAGGGTCCATACGGGGTCAATGACCTGCAGGTCAGGGTATAGCTGTAGACTAAGTTCACGAGTATTCGGCAGAGGTCGGCCCGTGTTCGAATGGGTCTTTATGGCACTCACACCTGCAAATCAAAACAATACAACTACGATAAACACCAAACTCCTCGAAATCTAAACATAATATTTTCTTTTTCTACAATAAATCAATAAAAAGTCAGAAAAAAAAATCATAGAATACATCAATTGAGAATGAATATATTAAATATTGGTGAATCAATTACATTCGACACAAAATTAGAAATATTATTTCTCGAACCTCATACAAATATATACACACACCTCTCGTTATCATATGGGAATATTTTACCGCCATAAATCCCATCTTTATGAATAGATATGCGCGCAAAACATTAGTTGCTGAGCGTCACAATCATTTCTCAAAACGACACCTTCTTAAGGAAAATGACGCCAATTTCCATTGATTGAATATAAGATAGATCTTGTTGGTAATGAACTATCAAACTATCTATATCTACGTCTACATTAATAGTATAAAGAGGAAAGATTTAATATTTTGTTTGTTTCTTTGCATTGAATATGCTTCGAAAGTACAAATGCAGATATGCAAAATTCTTTTACTGTTGGAATCCTACATTATCTGTGATGAACACAGGCTATATTTAATAAGAGAGGAAAAAGGGAACCGAGGCTGAATACTAATATTATTAACCACTCAACAATCTATTTAATTGAAATTCGATTCAACGAGAGTTTGAGACTCTGGCATTGGAAAGGACGTATGATTATTCTATCCCGGAAATACCACGGGACAGGAACTGTGTTAAATTTCTGGGTCTCGCTATCTTTTAAACCATTGATCTTATTGGAGAAGAATTCAGCACGACGATAGTTTGACACTCGGATAATGACGCCCGAGAGTTTTTAACTTCTGTACCACCGCCAAAACTGCTTATATTCATACCAGCTCTCTAGACCTAAATTGTTGAAAACAGTTTAATATTGTAGTCAAAGTTTTTCTTCTTAAATGCACAGAAAAAGAGATATTGCAAAAAACTGTTTTAAGTCGCCATTTTTTCAAGATAGCGGCGCGAGCGGCGCTCCTATGAGGTTGCAAAACGGAAATCAGAAAGAGCACATCAAAAACTATAAAATTGCCTATGTTTAAAACTCCCGGAAATATTTACCTCCCCCATACTACCTCCGAACTGTTACAAACACAGGTAAGATTCTTCCCATAGAAAATAATTCAGAACCTCTTTACGTACCAACTACAAAATCTATGAAATAATTAATTATTAAATTGGATATCGATTACATACAACGCTAATTAATATCAGGCATCCAATTTCATCTATTAAAACCAAACTGTTGTTTTACATAAACATCGTGACTCTTAAATTTCATAAATGAAATTCTATTTATCTGATTTACATAACTTGTCAAATATTAGTAATGAAATGGTATGTTCGGTATTATATTGCTAATAGTGATAAATGTGATACTAATACAATTTAAAGTTCATTTATCTGCCAACAGTAGACCAGTTGGAAATTAAATAATATACCTCTGATAAGTTGAAAAACACAGTACAGTAAATATACAGTGGCATAATGTACACCTCTGCCTACCCCTTCAGGAATAAAAGGCGTGATGTTATGTAAGATGAAGAAAACTGTAATCAATATTGTAATGTCCTCATCAAGATCGATTACTTTTCTGTGCTTCTATACTTCTATTGAATATTATGGTACCAAAAAGATCGAAGTCACCTTCTGTGAGACTGTTATGTTTCAGAAGGAAACTGCACTGCTTATTATCAGGTGGTCCGTTTTAGCGTTTATCGGCTTTTCGTATAAAAAAAACATCTTTAAATTGCCAAAAGATAAAATTTTGATACGTACCATCATCGTAGTTAGCAGGCGCGAGACGACTCAAAGGCGTGTTAGGTAAACCCCAATCTGGCCTTTCAAGGTTGTTGCAGGAACCATCAAAGCTTCTGTAACGTGACTTCGTGCAGGATGAAGGTGCAAGTCCACAGGTTTTAGAAGGTGAGTCCTGGTCTGCATCAGATGGAGGAGTTGTTTTGCTACAACTGTGTAGAGAAAAACGTATTAAGTTGTGGCGACACATCATGTCAAATGACAGCTCACGCACAAAAATTAAAACAAATCAACGGATTACGTCACGAAATCCTACATCGGACATGTAAAGTTCACATGTGAATTATACAACTGTTTGGCAGAAAGCTTGCCAGGCACGATCACCTCGCCTGGTCGGAGGATCCTCCTTTTCCGATCTTAGAGAACTATACTCTCTGTTCCCTAAAACGTTTTTGTTAAGTAGGTAGTATTAGTGTAGAAGTACAGTCATGTCTATTCCAAATCAGTCAATGTTTTTTTAGGTTCTTATTATTGCCAAACTATAAAGTTGTAAATCTAAATACAATATTTGAGAGAGAGGTGAAAGTTGACCTGTTGCCCACTGTACGTACTATAACTATATACGTCAATTATAATGTTAACAAAAACAAAATGTGAGAAAAATCATGCAAAATACGTGAAAGGCTATCAATCAATGAATGTATATTTACAAGTAAATAAATAACAAACTTTATTACATGAACCTTTGAACAAATTACGTAAAAAGTAGAACAGGAACGTGTATTAGTATTTTTACATTTGCAGTTCCAGGAAAATATTTATAGGCTATAAGACATGTCTTCGACTTTACTTACTATTAGATACGGATACATATTACATGCGCGATACATTAGTAGAAAAGAAAATATTCTTTGATGATTAGGATTTATGCATTTACATACTCCTCTATTTAATACTTTTCAGTTATAAAGACAATAAAATTATTTCTATACATTAACTACTTTAAAAAGGATAAAATGTCTAATGATTGCAAGCATGAGTACTAAGAACGTAAGAAGTAAGAAATTTGGGTAATAAAAAAAAATCCCTGTAGTAATTTACTTGAAGTGTATACGGGTCGTTATTAAATAATTGTTATTTAACTATTTTTCGATCTAATAATTATTATTTTATATTTCATAAATAGTTGTAAAATAATTTATGGAATGGTTAACTGAGTGATATTCTAACCGAAAAACCAAATAAAAACCAGAAAAGAAAAATAAAGAAAAAAATATCAGCATTATAAATTTTATCTAAAACGTTTCCGCGTAAGCAAGGGTTGTGCCCATATTTCAAATAGCAAATGTTAGGAGCGTATTTTAATAGCGTGTGATGCAACCCTACCATAGGGTTGTCACATTTAAAGCAATTCCCTTTTTATTAGGACGTTAAAAAGGGGTGTTTTTATTATGCCATTATATTAGTCCTATCACGGATGTATAAAGTTTTATGACTTTTAGAGACTAAGTTAGTAAAAAGGTAAGTATAAATAACTGGTAGTCGTGTAAGATGTGTTGGAAGTTTTCCGTTATCGGCCCTACTCACCAGACCTTGCCTACAAACTACTACTTTATCCAAAATTTGGATAACTCCTTGGCAGGATAAAAAATCATTACGCGAGATGCAGTACCAAATGCCTCTGAAGAATTTTTTGCAACCCGTCCATCTGATTTCTCTAAGAAGGGCCACAATAAACTGCCACTGCACTGGTGATTGCTTCGATTAATAATACAAATAAAAATTCCTATTATAAGTACACATCGCCAATACTATTTTTACGTGTTTAGATTCGTTTCTACAGAGAATCAAACTGTACTTATATACACAAAAATATACGGTACTTACATTCGTTATGTCATTTTTAATCAGGAGAAAATACACTCAACATAGTGGAAAATAGACTTACGTAATTAGTTTATTTTTACAACTGTACTAAGCGGTTGAGCGATAATGAAATTATTCTTAACTAACGACTGGGTGGGTTAAGGCTCCTCACGGGTTCAATATTCATGTATATAAACCTTCCTTAAGAATTACTCTATCTATTAAAAAAACCCCATCAAAATCCGTTGCGTAGTTTAAAAGATCTAAGCATGTATGCTTAGATCTATACGTATAGGGACAGACAGAGGCAGATAGCGACTTTGTTTTATACTATGTAGTCAAATACACGTAAGTAACAACGGAGGAATCTAACTAAATATAATGAGATGATTATTTTTATTCATGGTTCTTATTTTCATAGGTAGTTTAGAATAGAAAATTTCAATTACACTGTGCAGTGCAATTAGTTTATTTTTACAACACTGTTTACTTGGAATAATTTCATAAAATACATCTCAGTAACAACGTAGGAATCTAGCTAAATATTGCGGAATGAAAATTATAAATTCATGCTTGGTACTTTCATAGTTTAGAATAGAGAATTTGAAATACACTGTACAGGCAAATAATTTAACACATTTCGAGCAGGCAGGTTTAACTTAAATCTTAATATAGCTTACTTGGTATTTTTCTAGACAAAGCCTGTTTTAGCGAACAAGCTAGCTAACAATTAAGAATAAATCTTTTTAGCACTATTAATAATTTTCTCTGTACACTCTGTCAGTTTTAATTCTTCACTATGCATTTGCGGTATAATAATGAAATATTTTTCATCTATATATATAAAAGAAAGTCGTGTTAGTTACACTATTTATAACTCAAGAACGCCTCAATTGATTTAGATGAAAATTGGCAGGGAGGTAGCTCAGAACCAGGAGACGGACATAGGATACTTTTTATGGAATACTTTTTTTTACCGTTTACCGAAAATCACGAACGGGGACGGGAAAAAATGGGATTACGCGTACGAAGTCGCGGGCAGAAGCTAGTACAATATAAAGTAATGGATAATCTCATAGAAGCCAGAGGCTTGGTTTAACATTAAACACGTCATATTAAATGTGGTATAAAGTTTCAAACTTCACTAAATCAGTCTGAACGTTTCCGTTGTCCCTCAGAACAATGAAGGAAAATAATTTACGGGTCATTCGTATTCAACATAACCCTGTAATGTCCCTTGTAAAATTCAAACTATTTCTTAGTCTCAGGAAATGGTACTTATAAAATACTCTAGAACATTTTATGAAGTCAGTATCCACACTACCACAGAATCAACTACAAATCTTTCGACTGAACAAATTGTCGTGTCTTTTTAGACATGAAAGAGCAATTTTAACATAAACCTCTATTAAAGTCTCCCAATTCCTAAAAGATTTGATTAACTGCTTTATAAACTACCATAATGAAACTGTTAGAAAATACTGATGATCATAACATCCTCTATTTAAGTAATAGTAAGACGAATAGGCTCAAGCTACTAAACACGTACTACAAATAGCTTTTCAATGGGAAAGTTTTGGAACATCGCTTTTGTCTACTAACCCGTCGACGTGTGTCTAAACGTGGATCCACGCGAGACACAATTTTTTTTCTATAGTGATATAGTATAGTATAGTGATAGTGATAGAAATATAAGGGCATTCAATCGGTTAAACGTACCCAGATCCAGTGACACGCCGTCCTTCAGTTTGTGAACCAATTGCTACAACCGTCGCTAAAGTAGCTGCAAGTCCAGTAATGTGCAAACTCGGTCGGTAGCTAAGGTGAATGCCCTCGGCAGCATAACATAGCGCTAACGCCAGTAAAATTTTTACTGTCGCCATTTTATCTGAAAAGAAAGAAAAAAAGTTAATAATAATGTCGTTCAATTGATGTTGATGAATGTTGATAAAAGATATTAATGTTTTTATGAAAATAAACCTAGACGAGAAGCAAATTAGAGGGATGACATTAATTGACTGAATCTGAAAGCCTTGCAGATTTATTTTAGTCACTTAGGCAATCAAAACCTAGTGGTGCGCTTATAATTATACTACCAAATACAGTTAGAACGAATTAAAATCTATCTCATTCGCAATCCGGAAGAATTTCGTTTCAATATTTGTTTTTTTCTGCATCGGTTTATCTAAATCTGCCGATTTCAATCCCAAATCGAATTTAAGTAAATGAGGCGGACACAAAGAAGCATTTAGATGCGGAGAGCCCTTACGAATATCGAGGACCTAAAATCATTATTATTGGACGTGATGCTGATTTCGTAACGATCATTCCTTCCTGGGTGGGTAGCAAAAATTTAAATTAGCTTCCTCATTGATCCAGCGGTCGGTATTGCATTTTTGGATAGCTTGTGGACCTTCTAGTGACTATATAGGACTAAATTTTTAGGTTGAATGAAAATGGCAATCGATAGATTCCTTTTTATTTTACACACATTTTTTTATTAATTGACGTGAATTGCAATAAGTATCTCTATCAGTTTCAACAATTTACAATAGAAAATACCTATAAAGTAGTCTCAATGTCACTGTTAACGAAATTAGGCCACTTTGTCTGTCTTTCTGATAGTGATAAACTCATAGAATACTGTAATGTATTTTTCAAACGGTTCTTTTTAAATTTATTTATTCATTCATTTATTTACGTATTGAATGAATACTCATGCCAGTAATTGCTTTATATAAGCTTGTAAAGAAAAACATTAACAGCAATAAATTGTGAATTAATGGTTCTTAAAACACTAGATATGTACTATAGCCGCAATTACTGCACGAATAGCTAATTTTAACATTTATAATAAAGGGCTGATATAGAAATAGATTTTATTCAAAAAAACGGCCGGCTATCACTATCGACTATAACAAAAATTGGTATGTTATTTTACAGACAACACCACAATAAAATGTTAAAAATAAACAGGCGCATAGCGTAACGAATAAATATATTTTCCAAGTATATTTCAAGATTCTATCTTATCATCTTAATAAAAATCTCAAGAAGTGGTTTACCGACGAACGTCTGCAATATTTACATTTCTGAAATAATATTTCGTGTTATTTATGCGACATGTTGTTATGATATTCTTGTTAGGCGCTAGTTACTGCTAACTTTAAAGTTTGTTGGAGTTTTTGTATCCTTCAGTTACATTGCCGAGGAGAATGTTGAAACTCTTCTAATATTGACTTGTAAACCACAAGTACCTATTTGGTCTTGTAGAAGATTAAAAACTTCACTGGCGCCTTCTAGTATACAATGGGCACCAATCTGAAACCACATTTCACTAAATACTATAACATGAGCCCTACTGGGCCCCATGTGTGGTGGTCTGATGACTCTTTAGGTCGCACGCGGAACGCGACGGGCCGTACGCTCGGGTCTGGTTCTGGTCGGGCGGCGAGTCAGCGGTGCTTGCCGTCAGCTAGCCGGTTCTTACAGTGGCCGGAGATCGGAGACCTCGAGATTCCCGACGCCCGGAGTGTCTTTGACAACGGCTGGGCTTGCGAGGAGGTTTGTTTAATCATGTGCTCCACGTCCTCCTTAGCTAGCATACTAAGCTCAGCTGCGTGTAATGTTCGTGTACGGGAAAGTTATGGGAACTTTGTTCTCCCAGGAAGCGAGGGTACGGCGTTCTTATGGCGTGCTATACGTGTGAATGATTTGCAAATTCTTCAAATGGATATTTTTCTCAACAAAGAAATTACTTTACGTCACTTTTCTATCCAAAGATGGGTGATATTTCATCCAATAACTCGAGTCCTATCGTTAAAAACCCAGTAATACTTTGGCGGACCCGGGAATCGAACCCGAGCCCCTTGCCCGGTAGTCGGACTTGCGACCACTCGGCCAAAGAGGCAGTGTATACCTTTTCAGTTTATAACAATATACTACACCACAGAACATTATAACTTTATATGTTCTGTGACTAACACAATACTATTTTCGGGGACCCAATTAGTAAGCCCTGCCCTTTACACTTGAAAACGGAATTCGATTAACAATAATTTGTCCAACAAAACAACAAAAACCTCGTTTATTTTTTATTGTCTCCCACAATCTAACCTTTGCCGTTGATTAGTTATTCCCATTCATAAAATTTAAACGAGTTCAATATACAGATTAGCCTGATTTATGACTTTTACGTTTAGCCTCAATTATTAAAGAAAGAAAATGACTGGTGTTTATCACGCGAGGTAATAAAATACATACACGTGTATATACATAGGAGTTTGTGTATATAACTTGCCTATTGGTTAATTGACTCAAAGTGTACGTTCCAAATGAAGCTCTATTAACTATTTAATACGTTTTTTATTCATGAATTTCCTTATTGCATTCTTATCAGCCCTTTAGTTGTTGATTGAGTCATTGTTATTGCGTGTAAAAATTCGGAAACAAAAAATGTTATAACTACTAGACGGAGGATTTTCTTAAGTTTGATAATCTCTTATAAAGGACACTCAATTATTTTTTTTTTACTGCCGAGACATCGAGATATGCGTTCCTGGTACGCAGACGACTGCATCTTATATGATCTTAAAGTCCACAGAACAAGATAAATAAGTATAAAAGATATTTGCTTACCCATTTAATTATTGTACTTATAATCACTTAAACACAACAATATTTCACGGTACATACTCTCTGTGTTGACACAAAATGACAATGTTTGTACACATTTATATAGTGTGGCTACTGAAGAAGTCGCACCATTAATGATGAGACCTACTAGAAGCATCTCAATGCCTCAGTTTTTTAAAAAAATAAACCAATACATTTTGGAGGTTACCGTTAGATAATGAATTTAAGTTATTTGTTTTATGTAAATTAGAGGCGCTTAAATGTAATTTAGCTAATTATTTTATAGGTCTTATGATAGAGGATGAGTTTTTGCCACATTCTTCAGGCTTCACTTTCTTCATTCTACATTGTACCTATTTAAATATCTGTAGGAAGAAACTTAAAACTATAGGTCCAAACTTAAATAGACTACGACACAAATTCAGACATAAATGTAAGACAGTATATATGTCTGTACTGTTCACATTTATTTTATCTGGAATTCTGGAGTTGGTACATTTGCCAACTCCAGATAAATTTTAATTGAAGAATAACTTTGACAGTTCATACATACTAAGAGCCGATTTTTCAGTCATCAGTTAATTCTTAACTGTATAAGAAAATTGACAATTGACAGGTTTTAGTATGGAAGAATTGTGAAATATTTAAACTTATTCCTTTGAAAAAATTTAACAGAGCATTGAAAAATTGAAACTAAAATTGTCAAATGTCAATTTTATTCTACAGGTTAAGAATTAACTGATGGTTAAGTGAGAGTGCGGATGATGTGACACTTATTATTGTGTTACAATAAATTGTCGGGCAAAGTATTACAGGGTTTTAAAAAAAAATCACAGTAGTAGCACGGAGTCTGGAAATGTGCCCGGTATATGGCAATAGGCTCACCCCCTATTACATGAGACTCGTAACATAAATAGTGAATAGTGGGTGTTACATTGTACAGTGGCATAATGTACACCTCTGTCTACCCCTTCGGGGATAAAAGGCGTGATGTTATGTTATGTTAAATTTTCCAATTACAGACACTCGTGTTCACATAAGACATTCGATTTATACACGAGTGTATAGTGTTGTGGTCTATTCATACCTTTACGATTTTAGAAGATCATAACTCAAATTAGTCGATTCATCATCATCATCAACAGCCTATAAATGCCCATTGCTGAGCAAAGCCTCTTCTCACACGGAGAAGGTTAGAGCATTAATCACCACGCTTGCTCAATGCGGGTTGGCGATTTCAAACTTATAATTAGAAATTATAAGTCCAGGTTTCCTCACGATGTTTTTCCTTCACCGTTTGTCAGTGGTGTCTAGATAATCTTAGAAAGTACATATAACTCGGAAAAAGTCACATTGGTACTTGCCGTTGGTAGGTTTCGAACCCGCACCCTCATGCATGAGAAGTGGGCGTCTTAAACCTCCGGGCCACCACAACATTATTCGACATTATTAGTCGATTACACATGTCAGTTTATCATAAAATATCCAGTTACAAGAAACTGAATATTAATAAACTATATTCAGATATTCCATTTTTCTGAAGTATCTTGTTCACACATCAACGCTTCAAGAGATTAAACTAAAATGTGCAGTCATGCCTAAAGTTGAATTAAATTGAATAATTTATTCTGACGTGTTAAAGAACTATTATAAATGATCATTTCAACCTGTCAGCTTGCTTTTTATAAATATTTACTTTATTATATAAACTTGAATGGTTTAATACAAAAGTACAATTTTCATTTTTTGTATGTAGTCAGTGGCGTTCGATAGAAGCTGAGTCTTAAGATCATAAGACACCCATCTATAAACCAACCTCGATAATCCTTACTTAACTTAAATAAGTATAAATAACTAAACCGCATTCACGAAAATACTACCTCCTGAATAATCTGTTGCCCATGAAAATGAAAGAACAGCCTCACAGAATTTACCAAATAAATGATATAAGCCACGCTAATAATCCAATTTAAAATTTAAATTTTAGCCCAATTACCCAGATAATTTATTTGAGGTAACACAAACACAACATGAATGTAAACTATATAAGGTCTAGTTGTATTGAAGAATGTTTTGAGTGTAGATAACCAAGTAAAAAAGAGTGTCTAGTTAATGAAAAAAAAAATTGGCTGAAATTTCTGATATAACCAGACATTATCAATTAGAACCATAATAACCAAATAATAGTTTCTCTTATAATATATAATAGTTTTTCTTCTTATCTAATAGAATATTTAAAATAGTTAGTCATAATTGGGTACTTGCCAACAAGTCAAATTCAATACTTTTTTCGATCTGTCAAAAACGATAGTTTTCTTTGATTTTTGTACGTAATTGTGTATTGTGACGTCAACTCTTTTAGCATCAAACACCATACTTATTTCTTAAACATATGCTTGCAAAATACTAAAATTAAGTTGGTCATAAAATCAGTTGATGAAAGTATGATTATTTTTTCATATCTTATTGAATTATTCTATTGAACTGTCGAAATAATTAATTTTTGATCAAATAAAGTACCCAATTGGTACCAACTCAGTAGATTTTCTAATACCATAAAAAATACAAGAATTGGATGTTACATTTGACATAATAATGTACACTACTTTCATATTTCTACACAGTATATGTGCAACACTACCCGTATCGTAGACAAAGACGCTATATATAATTTCTTAATTAACAATAAATAAAGATAATATATTGATAACACTGACTGTTGTTACTAAAACCTCGTTATGCATCAAAAACTATCGCTTTTTATTTCGGTGTAAATCTAGAATGTTATACTAGATTTATACCGAATTATACTTACTTCTTTACACAATTAAAATACCAGTTTCGACAATGAGTGTTTATCAAGAACAAAATAGTCACCTAATTGATAAACTTACTGAATCAAATCGACTCATTCGTTACTGAGTCATGACTATGTCAAAATACAATAATAAATTACATAACTACATCAACATAACGTCACGCATTTTATCCCCGAAGGGTTAGGCACTGTACATTATAACACTCACTTTTCACTATGTCATGAGTTTCATGTAATAGGAGGTGAACCTATTGCCATACCGTTTTACCCGGCACAATGCCAGACTCCGTGCTACTACTGAGAATTTTAAAAAACCCAGTAATACTTTACCCGACCCGGGAATCGAACTCATGACCCCTTGCCCGGCAGTCGCACTTGCGACCACTTGGGCAACAAGGCAGTAAATAATAAATTACTTATTCATAAATACGTGATGGCCGAATTTTTGCTATTAAGAAACATTTTTGTGTATATTAACGAAAAAAGAGTTATCTCTACATGTTGTGTTCTGGTATTCATTTAATAAATATACATAAAATGTTGCGATATTATATGCAGAACCAACAATTATTTTTAACCAAAACTAATTGTGTTTACGAAATATCATGTCACATCTTAAAATAATTGACAAACATTTGCGTTATAACTAGCATCTTGATTGAATGTTTAAAACACTAACTAGTTACTCTTAGCTCTTTTATTCAATAATGGTATAGAATCGAAAATCCCAAGACGCAAGGCTTTTTAAAAACTTTTTTAATCTACCCCCGAATGTCCGCACAGATCAGTTCTAGTTCGAAAAGTTTCTTTTAGTTCTAAACTTATCCAGTGATCTGTCTTTTGCCTACAGATTTTCCTCTATCTTTTTCATTTGATTAAAATTCTTAGAATTATTAATATATTAGAACACTATTGACTAACCAATAAAAATAAGTTTATTATATTATTATTAACCTTGGTTGGCGTATATGCCCGTGAGAGATAGGTATTTGTTTCTACCGTCAACAAAATAAAATAGTCCTCAATATTTCCTTCAAAATAACAAAATTTTGTAAACTAATTTGCCATATAGTGATTATTATTTTATATTAAAGATAACGTAGATACTAGCAAAGTACTTAACAGGCTCATAAACGAACCAAAAACAGTACC